TAACAGGCTTCGTCGTATTTGCACAAATGACGCTATTGATGACGATGTTAGGTTGTTAACCAAGACATTAATTGGGAATGGCTATCCACCTAAATTTATCAATAGATGGAAAGTTCAGGGCACAGCGAGACCTACTGTAGCCTTGGTAGAGAAAAAGCCTGTCTACATCACCTTACCATTTAGAGGTGATTCAAATAGCCTTTTATTGAAACAAAGGCTTAAATCTGTTATCAACAAAACGTATTGTGCTGCGAAAGTCATAATCAAGGAAAGAACGAGGTCCATGCTTCATTCAAAACCTAGACGAAATGAAAACGATTGTGTCACATCCCACTGTGTTTACCAATTTAAATGTGTGTGTGGTCACACTTACGTAGGGAGGAGCAATCGTGATCTGAAAATTAGGGTGGGTGAACATGTACCATATTCGATAATTTTGATGTTTGATTATAATTCCTTGAAAAAGTTTGGACCAGATTGCCAGGCGAAACGTTGGATTTAATTTAAAAAATTCATTCGCTGAGATTTTACAAATATATTATTCCTATTTAATGTACCAAAATGGTTGCAAAAACAAATACAGTCGAATGACCCAATAAGATTAGAGGATAAACATCCATCATCCTCTATTGCTAAGCATATAATCGAAACAGGTCATAAGATTGATCTAAACTCGGCTTTTGTGGTGTTGTTTAAAAGTGTAAAAGGGCGTATACTGAGGTTTATAGAATCCTTAGCCATACGAAAATTCAAACCCCCTTTGTGTATTTAAAAACAGTTTGTTCTCTCCTTAAACCTACCCTGGTAATATATGCTTATTATCCAGAGTGATTAGGTGTCAAATTGTTTTCACATTATTTTATCATTATTATCCTTGTCTATTCTTACCCCTATTTCCAGTCTAGTTGACCTTTTATTTTTATATCTAAATGTTCTTAACAAGTATATGTGTGATCAGATTGTTCGAAATGTATTGCGCTAATATATCACATAATTCTGATAATCTTCGTCTTCTCATTGCATTATCGAAATTTATCAAAGGGACTAATTGCTTTAAACTACTAATAATGTTATTAATCACGGTAATTTCTTTGTTTTTCCAAGTAAAACAACGTATCATGATAGGATTGTAAGTCCATATGGGTATATACTTTCAATGTGTCTCTAGGCATATCTATGTTAGTTTGTTCATATGTGCGTCTGTGTGTGTGTGAATGTACATTTACATATTATATTCATAAGAAATGCCGGAACGTTCTCTAAGATAACAAGATAACGATGACCATGTTTATAATTTTAAATGTTTGGAGGAAGTTAACAGGAATCCCTGGACCTAGATTTCGTGTTACTTGGCACTATTCAGCAAGGTATACCTTTAATTTTGACAGATCTGACTAACTTTGAAGCTGGATGACACAGGATCGATTCGGTCAGGGACAATCAGTTCCTTCAAGATTATAGGTACACCTTGACGACCAATGGCAAGTATCACGAAACCTGGGCCCAGAACTTCCTGTTGACTACCTCCAAACATCATCTTTTCCAAACATAGTGCACACAATGGTGAGTTATCTTGACTGATGGTCACATTGTGACTTCATCGACAGGATTCGATCCGCACCAAGAAGGACGTGAAATGCATGACAAAGATCACCTCCAGGTGATCAGTCAATTGTAGCGTTGTTACTATGGGCAACTGATTATAGTCCGTAGAAAATATTGCTCATTCCTAGAAGCGATGGATATCCAGTTCTGAGATAGTTCAATAAGTTTATCTTAAGCAAGGATGCTCACTTTAAGATATTTATTACAATCTATAATATTCGATTTAGATTCATACTCTTTCCGAACCCTTTTCCAATCACTTGCCTTAGTCAAATAACTGGTAAATGAATATTAACCTTTAAATGACAAAACCGATTAAGTAGTTACATAAATCATTGATACACTTATGTTTGTCGTTCTGACACAGACAATGATATATAGTCGAAGACCTTCAGTGCGAGTACAATTGAATTCCTTCAAACACATATCTTGATGAATATTTCTAAACTACCCTTCAGCACTGAAACGCCATTTCAATACAAGCGCATAACATGACATAAGTATCCAAACTTGGCAATTTTACCCTGGAATTAGAAGACAATACATGTTCCTCAATCATTCTTTAACTATCATAAGTCCCATGATAAACATTAACCTTTATTCATTTAGTGTTGCTTGTTTGAATCTTCCCATTGATGTGTTAGGACTGCAACTGATCAGTCTCTAATTGGCATATGTGCATATTGCTTCAATATAGCCTTAATTCACAAGCATGATAAGCAGAGATGGATAGTGGCTAGAAATGGAATCCAGTTTGACGCGCGTTTTGTCCTATTTGGGACTCCGGTAAACTGCATTCAATTATTTGCTTTTAAGCATTACCAAAAGTGACATCCGATGTATGTTTCCCTCACTTCTAATACCTTTCTTGTTATATATACATTACATATGTTGATCACCTCCAACCACCATCTTATCTCAACATAGTGCACGCAATGTCGAACCACCTAGACTAGTGGCCACATTGCAACTTGATCGATAGCATTCAATCAGCACTTGACACATATGACATTGATCACCACCCAGTGATCAATCAATTGTGATTACATCTCAGTCCTAGAGGAGTTCGGTCACGGCCCTAATAGCTTAGTGGTAACGTTTCTGACTGTGAAGCTGAGTGACACGGGATCGAATCCATCAGGGAGCACCATTTCTCTCAAGATTACAGGTACACCTTGCTGACGAGTGCCAAGTAGCACGGAATCCGGGTCTAGGGTTTCTTGTTGACCACCTCCAACCACCATCTTATCACATTACATATGTACACAGAAAATAGCACAGATGTTATTGTAATTCTTTTTTATAACATTGAGTTACTTTCTCGTCTTTTTGCATGGAAATACTGAGTTGTGCTTGTCCATTATTTACGCTTATATAAATATATATATCCAGTTTCCCATAGTAATATGGATTCATTTGTTTCCAATGTTTGTTGGATAGCCCTCACAGAACTATAGACCTAGGTAACTTGCTAGCTGGTACTCGTCAACAAAGTGTACCTGGTAATTTCAGGAAAGTAATTCATGTGAGATCTGAGTCTGTATTACTCAGATTTACAGTCAGAGTTGTGTACTATTGGCTCCCGGTAGAACTGATGGGTGATCGATTTCATGTTTATCTAATCACTTCGTGACGATTGAACCTTATAGATTAAGGTGAAATATGGTCACTAGCCTTAGTGACTCAGGACCATGTGCACTATGTTGAAATATTAGGGGATTAAAAGTAGCTGATAGATAATCCTACCTTAATTTTAACCTTGGAATTGATCACTAGATTGTTCTTCACTACGCAAACAATGTTTTAGAGACAACTATAATCAAAAGCTTTTGGTCAATATAAATCTTTTACTTCGATAGATTATTTTTCATAAATGTAGATTCCTACAGAGTAGACTGATGAGCAGCATGATTGATCATTGAAATACCTGTGGACCCACTATCTACATCATAGTTGACGCAAATAAGCAGTAACCAAGTGATTTCTCCAAACCCATAGCCCAGATTCCTTCAAATATTCATCCATCGTATAGTCAAGTTTCATAAATTACCTACAAGTCTGTTGACAATAAATATGATTTCGACCTTTTTTCTTCATCGGTTTTAACTAATCTACACGACTGAAAAACGATATGTACTGTTATATACCAAGGAGAATTACGGATGGTAACTCTGAGGACTATTTGTGGACCAATATGACATGTATATTTCCTATTGTATAATTGTTAAGTAACAACTATTCATATTCGTGTCCCCCTTATTATAAGCTTTATTTTGACCTATGAACTACCACTATACGGTTTACCATTCTTGAGTTATCCCCAGTCTATTAATTACTGCTCCCCTCATTCACAGTCACATTTGGCCAAATCTTGTACAAATGTTATTTTTCATTTTATGGTAAAATGTGGTCTGTTTGTTCGATGCATAAACCCAGTATATTTGAGAATAATGATTCATATTGCAGAGGGTGTTATTGCTGTTCTGGACTGAACTGGCTAGTCTAAGCAGATAGCAGGACTGATAAGTACTTAAGGCTGTTCATACGGTTTTCGTGTATCATTGAGCGATCAATAAATTCACTGTTCTCTAATTGGTGATCTCATAACGTCATATATATCAACTGGGCAAGAATACACTCAATCGATATAGCATATACACTTGTAAGAAACAAATTAACTGCTGGGAATACCAGATGTCTTACCAAGCTTTCAGTTAATTTAGTTGGCAAAAAAACACTCCGTAAATAATCAGTCATAATCAACGTAGAAGCAGTTAACAAACGTATACATCGGCCCACATTACCATTATATTTTTTATTATTTATTCATTTATACACATAAATATTGGTACAAAGGAGCACCAAATATATATGCGCTGCACAAATCTCATTCGATTTGTGTGAGGGCTGTGATAGTGCCCAGGTACCCAAACTGAAGCAGGTGGTTTTCTTAAGGGGCCACACCCCGAGCCTTTGACCTAAAGGTCTGATCCACAAAGCAGTTGAGCATCCTTAGGAGATGCAGTCTCATGGTAGCCGGTGACCAACAACAGGTTCATACGCCATTCGTTCCATCAGGATACTGGAGTCCATGTGCACCATTGGTTTGGAATCAGGGTTTTCCAACTCCCTTAGGAGGACTCGCAGTGTCCACCAACCCGGTTAAAGTGCTGGATATTCGCTTTTCGTCCTCTCACCTTCGTGAACAATACCCCCGCCACGAGAATTTAGTTAGTAAGACTTCCCTGACAGAGGATTTATATAAGCGTGGCTATATGAGAGCATTTGGAGAGGGAGAGCGGACTCTCCCCACTCTTGGCCGTACCAGGGTATTTTGGGGGCCCATATTACCATACCATAATATTAACACATGAAATTAAGTATAAACAAATGTTGTAAAAAAAATTATAAAGATCTATATTTACAAAAGTTCACTAAAATTAATATAAAACTACCATACTCTAATACACTATTACTATTGCTAATGATTATGCCTGACATTGACAAAATGAACTAACAAACAATGAATGTAATGATAAAGAGGAAGCTTCAAAGAAATGCAGTACAAATCAGTTAAAGACAATGATGTAATGTGTTCTCTAAGCTATGATGATTCAACTATAGAGCTTTCAATAATTCTTTCTTCTTCTGGACACCATCTTTAGAGTCTACTCCTATAGTTTAGAGACCACATCATCATTTCACATGGCACTGTATAAACGAACTTCTTTGTGATAATACAATAACAAGGAGAATAGCCAAGATGACATGGGGATTAAAAATGAAACTGGAAATAGTACTATTCACATGTGCAATCGGAAAAGTGCAAAATTACACAGATTGTGTGTGTGTGTATTAATAACAGGTTCAAAGAGATTTACGACAACAAGAAGAACATTTTGAAGAGATAGGGAAAAAGAGAAGGAGAAATGCAATAAAAACATACACAATTTAAAGATTATAAAACAATCAATAACAGTAATGATCGTAAATACCACTTAAGTAGATCGAGATCTATGAAACCTTTGTAATATTCGTATATTATTCGAATAATAAGCATAAGTTAAAAATATACCAACTACACCGGTACCCCATAGAATACAATCACGAATTGGATGAGATACAATGAACTTGTCGATAATTGGAGATTTTTCTATAGGATAACAATTTGATAAACAAAAAAACACCGAACAGATTAATTTAAAACATGTGAGATACTGACATTTCTTAATCCAATGAAAAAGAACAATTGAGCAGTGAAGCTTTTTGGTTTTCAGCCACTAAGTCGTAGGTTTGAAACCCATTCTACCTACTGTCATTTTGAGCGATCGTGGTAGTTTTTGTTAACTTTGACAATCAGAATACGAAGCAAAGCGAAGTACACAGATCTGTATCTGATAAATGAGTTAAAAAGCATTTATCAGACGGTCAAGATTGTCGGACTAAGTTCCTAAAGATGATAATACTTCTTTTTTTGATGCATTGTTAGATTTAGCCAATGACTATATTGTTACGTTTTTCCTTAGCATTCTCCAAAATATGGAAGAATTTTTCTTAATTGAAGGTTTCTCATGATGGCATTCTTATCCAAACTGTATCATCTCTTGTTACAAACCATCCATGTTGATAAAAAGACCTCAGGATACCTAGATTTTATTATTGGGTGCTAATTAAAGAGATCAATCTTGAAAAAAATTTTCTTATCCATACTTTCTCAATGACACCTGCTGTTACTTAATTTGTTGTTATCACCTTTAGTTCGCTCATTTTGTTGTCTACCATGGTCATTGCATGATACCATGTATTTATTTGATTTAAACATATAAATTTTGGTACAATGAGGCACCAGATACATATGCGCCACACAAATCTCATTAGATTTGTGTGAGGGCTATGATACTGCCCGGCTGCCCAAACTAAAACAGGTAGTTTTCTTGGGAAGCCACACCCGGAGCCTTCGACATAAAGATCTGATCACAAGGCAGTGGAGCATAGTGAGGAGATGCAGTCCCATGGTAGCCGGTGATCAATGATTGATTCGTACGCCATTTGTTCCCTCAGGATACTGGAGCCAGCCCATGTGCACCATTGGTTTGGAATCAGGGTTTGCCAACTCCCCTACGTGGACACTCCACACCCATCAACCCGGTTAAAGCGCGGGCATTCGCATTTCGTAAACAACAGCCCCGCCACGAGAAGGCAGTGAGTAGGACTTTCCTGGCAGAGGCTATATACGCGTAGCCATGTGAGAGCATTTCGAGAGGGAGAGGGGACTCTCCCCACTCTCGACCGTACCAAGGCATTTGGGGGCGATGCCATGTATACAGAGAGTTGTCTCAATTCGACTACAACTTCTGTTCGCAGCATAAAAATATCCTGAAATCTCTAATGAGGGAGTGTCGTATATCAGACATCCCGTGTAACGAGATGTCATTATAATATACTTGCCAAGAACATATCCTGTTAATACTGTTCTTTTATGAAGTGTGATTTTCCTATTGAGTGTTTTAATTGTCATCATCATCATCATTCCCTATTACCTATTAATTTATCCAGTTAACTTTTTGTTATGTCCCGACAACAATAGTGAATGGTAACTTTGGGATCTATTTATGAACCAATACTATGAGTATATTTTTATCGTATTGTTATATGATTTACCGTTCCTGAATTATGCTCTTGTCTATTATTTACTATCTCCCTTATTCACAGCTACAGTTAGCTGAATCTTATACGAATGTTATTTTCCATTTTATGGTACGATGTGGTCTGTTTGATTGGTATATAAACCCAGTATGTTTGAAGTATAACGATTCGTACCACAAAGGCTATTATTGATGTTCTGGACTTAACTGGCTGGGCTAGGCTGATAGCAAGACCGACAAGTACTCTAGACTACTCGTACGGGTTTCATGTGTCACAGGTCCGATCGATAATTCACTGCTCTCTAATAGGTAGGTACAAGATAATAACAATTGCCGGCGTAAGTTATAACACTTTTCATCAGATTATTTGATATGTATAGTACAAATGTATCACACAGATACTGATAATCTTCATCCATCTTACTGTATTATCTACATTTATCAAAGAGGGGGGGGACTAACTGTTTCAAATTTCTTTTTAAAAAAAAATAACAAAAGGAAAATTTTTTTAAAAAAAACAATAAACAAAGATGGATAGTGGCCAGCAGTGGAATCCAGTTTGACGCACGTTTCGTCCTATTTTGGGACTCGTCATCTGAATGTACCTGCATCTCAGACTTGTTGATGTTCACTCTGAGACTCGAACCCAATAACTTTCGCTTCAAACACTATCGCATTATCTAGTCAGCTACTAAGTTCTAATACAATACTAAGTGGATAAAACAATAAAGAAAAACCAAATAAACTAATATAAATCATACCTTTTCTAAAACATTTTGTATATTTTTGAAAGTATTTCAATGTGATATTTTTAAAAAATCTAATTAGATTAGGACATTGTAATAAATGGGTGATTAAATGATGTGAACCAGATTGTAAACAAGTAGATGAGGAGGATGATGATTTATAGTCGATATCCCACCAATTTGAATCACCATACTGTGATTCATACATTAATAATGGCCATATAAATGAAAATACATAAGCATCAACTGCAGTTGGTCTTTGATTTGGTGGATAAGTACATGCATGCAAAGATATCAGCGTATATGAAACAAAGAGGAATAAACAAATATCAGTGTTAATATGATTAAACAAAACAACGAAGCAATATGTAAAGTATATATGTATATATATTAAAAACAGAGGACTGTTTATTTATATCTACATAAATAGAGATACTCTGGATCGTAATCATGTCGTACCAGATATGCATTCTACGTCAGGTCCTAGAACATAGACATACATTCAGACGTCCCACAATCGTAGTATTTCTCGACACTACGGCGACATTTGACACCGTTGATCATGAGGTTCTGTGGCAGTGTTTGTCACTGAAAGGAGTACCAAAGAAGTGCATTAACCTCATAAAGGCTCTCTACTCGAACACAACTGGTCGAGTTAGAGCCTATGGAGAACTGTCATCAGAATTGATTACCTCAAGTGGTGTTTGTCAGAGCTGCCCACTCTATCCATTCTTGTTTAACTTTTTCGTTGACGTGCTATTAGAAATATCACTTTTATCATCTCAATCTCCAGAAGTTGAACTTTTACCGGGAGGCTCACTTGTTGACTTGGAATACGCCGACGACATAGTTATAGAGGTTAACGTTCACAGGTGTCAACATAGTAGGCTTCGCTAGCACTAGGTGTGAAACTGAAGCGTTTGCTTTTCTTTGTAATGTTATTATTACGAAATGATTAATCCGATAATAAGTAAAGGTTTGACCTGTAAGTGTATATAACAACGATCTTAGGGAACCGTCAAAGTGGCAGCTAACTGAATGAACACGAGATTTGGTATATAAAGTTGTTCATTTTAAGATCGACAGTCGATGTGACATACAAATAATGAACAAGAAAACTCAGGGTCAAACTTAAACAACAATTTCTAGTTGTCAATAACAATGATTGTACGAATCAAATGAAATTCTAAAAAATGTGAATAATGACAAAGATTATTTACAATTTAAGTCCATCAGGTTTTACAAGCTGCATATTCTAAACCATCCAGCAGCTTGAACTGATACTTCCACAGGAAAATCTTCATTATGAGCAGCTCAACAAACATTCACCCATGTGAAAACTTACTTTCATCGGCGTTAATTCAGTGAAAAGCCATTAAAGTCATTGTATATAGAAATTTACAGAGTAATTAAACGGACAGAAAGAAATATTTTGTTATCATTATGCGGTATGGCAACTCGAACTGATGTACGTACGTACGAAGTCCTACGTTATGACTGACTGACGATACATATATTTTTATTATATGATTGTTAAGTAGCTGAACTTTACATACTCATGTCCCTCCTACTTTAAGCTTTATTTAGACCTATAGACTATTATTACACGATTTACCGTTCACGAGTTATGCCCAGTCTATTAATTACAGCTCCCCAGATTCACAGCCACATTTGGCTACGTCCTGTAAAAATGTTATTTTCTATTTTATGGTACGATGAAGTCGGTTTGGTTTGTATATAAACCCAGTTTGAAGCGAAAGGTACTGGGTTCGAGTCACAGAGTAAACATCAACTCTGAGATGCAGGTACATCCAGCTGATGAGTCCCAAATTGGACGAAACGCGCGTCAAACTGGATTCCACTGCTAGCCACTACCCATCTTTGCTTACAATACTTGTGAATTAAGGATATATCGAGGCAATACGCACAGTATACACATATGCCAATCAGAAACTGACTAATTGCAGTCCTAAACATCAATGGGAAGATTCAATTAAACAATACTAAATGAATTTAAATAAACCCAGTGTGTCTGAAATACATGATTCATATCGCGGAGACTGAGATTGGTGTTCTGGATTTAACAGACAGGGCTAGGCTGGAGGAAGGACCGACAGAGAATCCAGATTGCTCGTACGGGTTTTATGCATCATTGATCCGGTCGATAATTCACTGCTCTCTAATTGCCGGTATTATTACGAGAAACAAGGCCACAAGTTACAACATGGACAATCAACACAAACAAGAAAATGTCACTACAAAATAACAGATTTAACTAAACGCAGTTCCACTGAATCCTGAAACCAAAATTCATGCAACCCAAAACTCTATATTTTTGACGCTTTTATGCAGAACTGTGAAACCGATCCAAAACATTGTGTTTATTCTGCTGATTATTTTCTGTAAATATCACTGAATCTGTTTTTTTTTCGCTTTCACAAATAACTTCTTACCTTGTTTACACATTATAATTATTTACACTACGAATGGTCAGTCAGTCAGCTACAACGTATGACCAGGCACCTTTATACACCGGTCCAAGTTGTCATACCTCATTAGCACAACAAGATCAACACCGGATTCATAGTAGTTAATTTAGTGGTGGTAGTATATAAAAGAAAGGTTGTATATAAGAATATAGTATAGGAAGAAAAACAGATATAATGCAATTTTAATCTCACGGCTTAAGAAAAGACAGGGAGTGTATACATCTAGACCATTGTGATCGATTCTGAGCAATTTCACCTAGTCTCCAACCATTAGTACTTTTCATAAAACACCATCACATTATTTTTTGCATTTTCTTCCACCTATATTGGTCATACTATTTCCTACGGACACTGAAGTAAGGTATGTGAAGATGACTAACATTAACTTAAACTGTAAAAACGTTTTGTCACGATTCACATTTTTCAGAATTAAATTTGACCCGTACGATAATTAAGTTTGATCTTGAGTTGCCTTAGACATTTTCACCATGTCAGACTGATTGTCGATCTCAAAATGTTTTTTATGAAGAAATAATAAGTTACATTGTATCACTTGGAGGATTATGTGAGTACTGCATGGTTATGGTCAGTTACTCACAACGTAGAACCTGGTATGTATGCATCAGTTAAAGTTGCCACATCCACATAGAGAGATGAAATTGCTAGGTTAAACCCCAGAATAGTAAAAGTAGTAGCATCAGTGGTGGTTGAAAAGATAAGGTATTGAAGATTAAACTTAATTAAATATAAATTAATGAAATAAGAACACAAAAATTTGTAAGGAATTCAAGATTTTAGAATTTCAGAGAAGACAAAGAATGGATGCACCTGCATCATCGCGAATTATTTTGAGCTATGTCATTCGAAGTCTCTAACGATTTATTATGATAATAATTACGCGGACTCCAGCTAGATGACCTGCGACTTCCTAAATGGCTCAATTTAACAGTCAATGACTTGATGGATGAATGTCAAGTTAGGCTGCCTCTAGCCTTTAATTCACTCCAATAGCAGATTTACAAATGAAACGTAATTTCTGAGACAATATATTCAAATTATCAACTTACCGATCGCCGATAAAATATGTATTTTCACCCAAAATGTGAGCAAGTGATGTAATGCAAAGTTTGGCCAGTGAATATAACTACAATTAGAATACAAGAGGATATATATCTTGACTTGTTAATTCAACGAGACTTAGATGATAAGTACGAATCAATGTAATTAACCTATGATTTAATTTCTTGATGCGTAACAAGTGAAAACATTATCACAACACTATTAAAAAATAAACAGGACTAAACTCGAACCTACGACATAGTAATAGTATATCGAAACAGTTAAATCAACTAACTGTAAACCTACTGTTGTAATGCACACCAACGTTGTTGACTTTGATATTATATCTATCTACATAAACCTAGTATCAGTTCTATCACAAGCTGAATTTCACTTTGTTACATTATATATGACGCATAAATGTGGTAGAAATTGTTACGTAAAATTCATTTTGACACGATAAAATCAACTGGAAAATCTGATCAATGAATCAGTATAATGCTCGCATCTGCTGGGATCACCAGGTAAGTAGTAGTGAGGTTAGACACAGGGTATTAGGGAATGATGATGGTAAATCAGGTCATTAATCTTCATCGACTCAGATCGTTGGGCCATGTGTTACGTATGTCTGAACACCGATCACCACGATGCGCTATGCTGACTAGTGTAGGGGATGATTGGAAGAACGTTAGGAGCGGCCAAACCAAAACAGGGTATCAGTGCTTGAAGTCACTAACTTCTGGTCTGAGCCATGTTGGTGGATGCAGACTACTTGGTTGGGGTCCGCGTGACTATCGTAACCAATGGTTGGAGACTCTAGGTGACATGGCTCAGAATCGACCACAATGGCGTAGGTGTATACACTCCTTATCTTCCCTTAAACCTTGAGATTAAAATTGCTTCATAACTTCCTTCCTATACTATATCCTCATATACAACCTTTCTTTTACATATTACCATCACTAAATTAACTACTATGAATTCAGTGTTCATCTTGTTGTGTTAATGAGGTATGGCAACATGGACCGATGCATAACTGTGCCTGGTCCTACGTTGTAGCTGACTGATATGCCACTTTCATAGGATTTTATTAACAAAATGTCACAGATGGGTGATACCATCAGCGAATATAATCTACTATTGAAATTAACTAGAAGTGTGAAGAACACATTGTCGTTCAAAAAGCTTCTTGCTAAATAAATGACAATATTTACATAGACTACTTAGTATGAAATAATGAATCCAATTTACGAATAATTCAAAGCATGAAAATTGAAAAGTTAAACAAACATCGAAAAAAGAAAAACTTACATACTCGCCAATTTCTGAATCGGACATATTCTTAAGACATAAAACTAACTGAGAGAACTTTGCCTCTTTTACTTTTTTGTTACGCCAGATATGAGGAATATATAATTGTTTAATAAATCCAATTGATTCAAAATACATTTTTCTAGTGAACTTAGTATAAACAAAATCATCACCCCATAGGAACCAATTAACTGCAGGAGCTAAACGACGTTCTATAGTCGAAATTAAAGCACATGATTGAACACCCTCAATGTCAGATAAGTCATATTCTAAGCCATAATTCTGTTAACGAAACAAATTGACACAAAAAAATTTACACACATTTTTATTTATTAAATGAAACTTAAAAATCATAGTGTACTGTTGTTAGTTTCAAACGATAGCAACTTGTACAACCCCACACTGATAACTACCAGGTGCTCACCAGTGACTGGTTTCGTAAGGTAATTGTCAGAGTTCTAGTGAGAAGCTGTGACCAGTGGAGTTAATCTGTGCCAGGTAGAGACAGGTATCTACCTCAAACAATAGAAGATGGGCATACAATATCGTGGACTGAACCAATCCCTATTTGTGCCAGGTTTTAAGCTGTGTATGACTGGTTGGCACAAGTTGCGAAACCACATCAGTATAGGTAGGTGCAATTAACTATATGATCATTAAGATAGTAGTATTATCAGTAGTAATAACAGAAGGCAAAAACGGATAACACAATTTGAGAATAAAATATATTTGCGGAAGTGTACAAAATAACTTTGAAACTCAAGATCAAGGGGCAGACAAAGTAAATGCATGTGTGCCATCGAAGTTGATTTCGTCATGACATTTAAACTTATCGACCAGTGATCATAATTACTGTCTAAACCCCAAGCAGGTAGTTTGGACCTATATGTATATAGTAGGTCAAGTAAGTGAATGGCTAGAAATCTAGGAAATTTTCAGTAAAATTTCTTTGCTTTGTATTGGCATTACTGTTTATCATTAGTAACATTAGATTGTGTACTACACAATATTTCACCCTTTGACAAATAGGTGAATAATTTTAGAAAAAATGTTGATTAAGTTGCTAAAAGTAGTAGGGGTACTTCATTTCACATGGTCTGGGTTTTTTTAACCATCAAAAAATTGTGTGGAGATTTCACAGATACTTAGAACTGATATTAACTGGATCCAAAATACCCAATATAGAGAAGTAGGTTGTACTCTAATTCTGGACCGGTAATTTAGTGCAACAGACAAATCTCTGAGTGATTTGACGAAGAAAGTTATTTCAATGAATAAACACATGATACGAATAAACAAAATGATGAAAAAAGTCTAGACATACAATTTAGGTGGTTAACCTTGAGGAAGGTTCATGCTAACCTCGGATTGTGAATTTCACTAGCCCATCATTGATTAAACGTATGGAATCCAGTGGTATGTTGGATCAACTACTTCGTTCTCAATGTATCATATTCTCATGTTATCATTTTTATATATTACTACTGTTGGAGTAACTTTTTCTATGAAATTAGTATCCATCTCGAGCTACTGAGGTATGGTAGCTTGAACCGATTCATATATGTATCTAGTCCTACGTTGTAGATGACCGACAATTTAGACAATATTCTACACTATCAAGTCTGCAAAGCAGTTCAAACCTCAGTAACTAGTTACAATCACTGAATACACTTGTTTTGATTTTGATTTGAGATTCTAGAGTGAGCAAACAATTGTACAGTATCAGGCTACTCAGTTAATACTGCTGTTATTCCGATAACTATCAATCTAGACTACAGTAGAAAAGTAGGAACATTCAGAATAAAGACTAAAAAACTCACTTCTTTCCTCAAATACGTTAGGATAACTGGGATTCTGTGATAATCCTTACCATCATGACTGAGAATTGGAAAGTTTTCAACAGTTAACTGATCAGGTACCTTCATTTGTATGTTCATCCGTGCCCCTTTAAACCTAATATAGCACTGAAGTTATTATTATGTTGCTTAAAAAGACTCACGAATATTAGCAAACATTCAGGATCACAAAGCAGTTCATTTGGAGCGGACAAAATCGTCAAGTCCATCACGAGGATTACTTCGAATTCACCTAACGAAGTGACCTTGTGTCTCAAAAACTAAGTAGATAAAGCCTAAAAATCATGATTACTGGTATGCCGTTGTTCTGTTTTGGTTACTACAAACACTTCTATCGTTTGACAATTTAAAGTTTCTCATCTTAACAGACCCCTCTTGAGTTAGGTGGATGATATATAGCCAATCCGGATGACATAAAAAATCACAGGAAAATAAAACTTGATGGAGGAGCTTCTTCAAACATAAGGGTGTTGTTGTAATCGCTTGTTCTTCTGAGTTAGAATATATAAAAGTGAAGCTTCAATTGTCTCTACTATTTTCCAACCCTCATTCAAAGTCCAGTGTAAATCTTCCGAGTTAGAGTTTATTCAACTTGGAGGACCATGTGGTTAAGATTCAGTGTTGTTTCACATCACTACAAAGTCACTGTCAACTGCTCAAATTTTGACTTACATGGTTCAGACGTACCTCAATTTGGTAGGAACCCTTGCTCATGTATTTTGCTCTACCATGAGTTTGACGTTCTTTAAAAGCGGACATTTCATACACTTCGTTGACCACAACCCCTTGTAGTGATATGGTCCTTACAAAACGATTCTCGAAGCTGAACATGAGACAACTTGGAAAATTATATTCCAACATTAAGCACGGAGAGATCAGCAGTGGTGAACACTAGAACAAATTATCAGTGTGGCATGGCTCACCACTGAGGGCGTCGTAATTATGTATAACTTTTCTCCACTCATGTTAAATCTATGATCCTATCTACAGTCCAAATAATTCCTTAGAAACGCTAAACAGCATACTGCTGATACTACAATAGGATGAGTCAGTGTAGACAATGAGCTGATCTCATAGATTAAGCAGTCACATAATGAAAATCTACCGTTTTGAGATTAGGTCTGTCATTATAGTGACAAAGATTACTGTACTAATGTCGAACCGGATCGTAATTCTACACCCTCAACAACTCTTAGACTTTTATCATCTGACGGTCGCATGTTAACAGACGCTACTAACAAGATTGTTTGTGAATAGTGTTTTAAGGAAGGTGACGTCGAAGTTGAAAGAGTCATCAGAAGGGTTTCAGAACAGTGAAAACATAACGTTGGCGTAACCAAACGAGAAGATAGTCCAGACTACAGAAAACAGTGTAAGATATAAATGAATGGTCGATGGCTATGTATACGTATCATGAAGACGCATTGTGACTTCTCACAACAGATGTAGATTTCTCTTGTCTATGAACTTATTTTAGACCATTATGCCGACTTCATTTTGTCACTGCTCAAAGAAACAGACTCTAACGCTGTCGCAGTTAAAATCCTTATAGAAAATGAAGCACCGTGCTGCTGAATGTCTCCTACTTTCAGACCGAAAACTGTTGAACAAACAGTGATTCAAAGATCCTTTTCTTCAGCAGTTACAAAAAGCTCGTTCCTTGGAACAATATTGCCACAATATCAATAACAACTGCCTAAACAATGACAATAAGAATTAATCGTCAGTACTTTCATCAGATAATCTCTCTGACTCTGAAATCTAACGACGAAATGCAAATCCCACACTATGCACCAATGAACGAGGTCATGACAAGAAGATACAGGCGCGAGAAAATGGAGTGTTTGGATGACAAAATATCAATGATTCAATACATGAGATCCCGTGATACTCATACCACTAACAGGAGTTGGTGGCATCCTTTCAACAATGCTCAAAACGAGGCCTGAAACACAGATGTAAGGGTGAGCACAAACAAGCTACACACAGACACATACCTGATAACCTTCAAGAAGAAGAAAGGACATACAGAACTAGGCCTAACTAACCCCACTCCTATCAACAGCTCAGAGACATTAGGTTTCGGTTAATACTTAAATGGTGGTCCAGCCCGTCAGACTTCGTAGTCAAACCTCCTACCTTAACAATGTATAGCTGCACGCCGGCCAGCTCACCATATCTTAACGCACACCTGCGCAAATCTGTTAATCTAACACACCGTTGACTGGATTTTCGCTGTTTCAGATTTTTCATTGCCAATCGTTTGTATAGACCTGATGTAAAACCGTAGTCTACTCATCGTCTAGAGTAAAAGGAGGTTAGTAAACGAAAATGATCTGTTTCTGGAACTTCACCTCCTAGTTTTAGGCTGTGCCCAGGCACGATTAAACATATAATCTATCCCTACGACAAAAAGACACTCAACAAGTACGCCACACTTCATATGTAACCAGCTATGTTGTGCTACGCATCACGACTACAGGACCATATATATTTTTGAAAAAACACCGACTAGCTCTCGAATAGCCAAGAATGCGTAAAGTGAATTAGAGCATACGATAGAATTGTGAATTATCTGGCAATCGATCAGCCTATTGGAATCTCCTTTGCACGCAGTCTCTAAAAAGTACAGCAACGATTGGCATCCAACTGGTGGTTACTGTAGACTTAATGTGAAAAGCATTCTCAATCGTTACCCTTCGTCTCACATCCATGACCTGAAAGTCATCTTGAAGGGTACGACCGTTTTCGTGGAAACCAATCCGGCTAAAGCGTACAATGGGGTCCTCATGGATTCAGAAGGTATCCCGAAAGAGGCCATCATCACTCTCTTCAGACTCTACGAGATTTGACGCATGCCTCTCGACATAAGAAATGTTGCATAAACTTTCCAGAGATTCACCGATGACGTTTTTCAATGTCTCAGCTTCGTACACACATATGTAGACGACTCCTTGATAACATGTCTGGACAGGAAATCTCACCTCCAGCAAAGGAGAGCTGTCATAAGAGGTTTATGCATACACGGATAAGAACAAAAATGTATATACGAAACCGTTGCCCATAGCATATTTCATATTTCCAGTCACTAGGTGATAGTCTGTGTTCGTTTAAGGTTATGTTGCTATGCTTGCTGCTCAGGACTATAAAAAGTAGGCTAAAGATGTTCTATCGCACTGTCACATAATATATGACATATTCGAGACTTCCTGCTCGCTTGCTGTTAGATCATGTAGAATAACTATTTTGTAGTGTGGTTTCCAGTTCACATAGTTTTCTTTATGACTTTTTTTTCTTAGACCTGTTAGGCTACACTGCACTGGCATATTCAGAGCAAGTCAAGGTATCATATCGTCGCATACTGTTTTTCCTTGCGATGCCTGAATTATGCTTATAGAGATCTATTAGGCTTAGTCATCAAATGTTATCTAATCAAAATTTCTGACCAAAATCGATATTCATACGGGTGATTTTTCCATCAAAGTAGTTTATTGTCAGGTCACGCTGCTAACCCACTCTTGATTTGTTTGATGGCTATCCTGATTTTTTCGACCGTTGGTGGTGGCATCTATAAGAGGATCTGTGCGTGCTACTCCGTTAACCCTTAGATTCAATAGAGCTAGCCTATTCAAGAGTTTGCAGAAGTATTCCACTCACCTGCTCCTCTGTCCCTAAATTTCAGTGATTAACGTGACTTCTTTGTCCTTGCCCGTTCTCTTTGGTTTACTACATTTCCCTACCAGATTCCTCGTTGTGCCAAATAGTTGATTTATATTTCCTTCTTCTGCAGAATTTTACTCTGTCGTTGATAGCTCTCCTATATATTTCTGTTTGTCAGCTCCAGTGCCCCTCTTCATTTGTTTATTTGCTTCTCCGTATTCGACCTATGCCATGCCTTTCTATACTCTTGTCCGACGATTAATAATTGTTGTGCTTCGTCCTTCTTTTCTTGTGGCTTATTTAGTGTTCCCATCGAGATACGTTCTTTATGATATAGCTTCTTGCAGCCAAGAACCTTTTGACACGTTAACGTTAGTGATTCTTTGATTGCTTTCCAGTTGTCACACGTAGTGGTTCCTTCCGCGGGCAGATCTCGTAAAGCTTGAAATATGTTGTTGAGAGTTATCTTGAATTCGTTGAGTTTGTTAGTAGGTTGAAGGAAGATCGTATTAAATCTTCGTAATGCTCTTTGTCCAGTTGTCCGATGCTGTTTTAGCTTCAGTTTCATTTTGACCACAACCAGTTGATGATCTCAAGCTATGACAGCTCTTCTCCTGGTTTTCACGTTTTCGATCGGCTTTGGGAATTGTTTACTGATGTGTATATAATCTATCTGATTCTCCATGATGTGGTTCAGTGAGACGCAAGTAGCTTTGTGTATGTGTCTATAACCAACTTGTTGAATGGATATAGATTGGCGAATATCTTCTTATTTCCGTTGATTTCTTCTTTTCCATGTCGTCCCATGATTTCGTTGCATTCGTTTTTGTCCATTCCGACTTTGGCATTTAGACTTTCCATCAGGATGGTCAGGGCTTTTCTTGAGTACTTCGTTATGATTGGTCGCAGCTGTTTGTAGAATGAATCTTTGTCGTCGTCATTGCTGTTATCGGTGAGTGCATAGCAGTGAATAACATTCGTAGTGATATTCTTCTTTGCTTTGTATGATGCTGTAATGATCTTGAATTCGTAAGATTCTCATCTCATAAGTGCCTTTCGTGCTTTGTAGAATTATAGTATGGTTCTTTATTAATAACTTTGTCTTCACCATTATCATATTAGGCTCAATTCCTAAATTTTAGGTTTGTCATGATGGGACTACTAAATCTATGATATCTTATGTGGAAGTCACATCACTGTCTATTCTGTCTGGTTGTATCATGATAGTCAACAACACGACGTGTAGAACTTCTGAAGAGCACGTTCGTACAAATACGAGACATGTCGAGCCGACGGAATCGCTACCGCGTTGAGGACTTCCTCTAAGTGTTGCATGTTCAATGTGAACCTTCTTCGTGTTGAGAATTCTATATTGTACCAGATTATAATATTGAATAAAGCCATTAATAATAATAATAACACTCAGTATTTATGTGTTCAGCCTCAACAGTCTTGTGATCTAGCACCAATACACTTACACTTCTGTGAACAGCGTTAGAGCAACTGCCTGAGTATGCAGGGCATTTTCTTCTTTCTGACAAGAGTACAGAAGCACATCCCACGGGTCGGATACTTCCTGTCCAGCTTGGGTTCAAAGGGTTTCAGTTATTCCGGGCACCGGCCAGTAGTATCTCTTCATACCCATAGCTACTAGATTAGTACTTCAAGTCTTCCACGTTGTCCGGATATTCTACATACCTATGTTAATTTTCGGTAATTCTATCTCATGACTTCTGAAGAATCCTTGCTTTCACCATGAAGCGCCACAGTTCTCCTGAATGAAGATCCTTCAACTCTCATGTCACCGTTTAAATTGTTCAAAATGTTTATTCTGGTCATTGGCTTTAGGAAGGTTATTTCCTATGAGATTTAGATATTAACCCCGTCCAATCCCTCTCCTTTACTCGGGTTGTTGACTGACAGTAACCCCAGGGGAGCTACAGTCGACATTGGAGATAATAGTACTACGACAAAAACGTGCGGAAAAATAGAAACAATTTCAAACAGTGTGAGATGGATGATCCTGTAAACGAACAGGAAATTAGATATGCCGCAACATCATTGAGAATCCAGATATATTGGTTAACTTCGTCAACAAATGTACGTTAACGGGTCAGTCAAGTGCTGATATCCCCTACAGTTGAAACTATCTAAAGCAGCGTTCCGAAACTTGATGAATCAGAATACCTCCTCAGATTACATTACTTAATAAGAAGATAAGGTATAGGAATTATCCAAGATTCCTGTAAGCGACGTTC